GATCGAGGCTGCTTGGTGCGGATTAGGAGCCAATACCACTCTGATGGCTCTTCTACGAGCAAGCGATGAAAATCCCTCAATAGCTCCGGCCACGGCATTCCATAATGGTGCTGGAGGTGCTCCACTCTAAATAAGAAATCTTCCGCATTTATTCTCCTTGCTTTTCCCGTTAATTGGAACCCCCATTTATCCAACGGCACATTATGACGATTGCGGGTTGTGATTCGTCCGTCTTTGAGCGTTGTTCCGGCCCTGGACATATCCACCTGCTCCAACTTGGTCAACACTACGGGATCTTGCTCGGTTTTCTGGTCCTGCAAGGTTAAATGCACCCTGGGTATTCCCTACTCCTTAGGTCCTTCCATCGCCGGGTCTTCCCTGAAGCCGTTGACTTGACTGGAATGTAGAATTCTGGCCAAAAGCTTGCCAGGAGTTCCTGTGCTGCTCGCCCTGTAGCTTGTAACAAATTAACCGCTCTATCCCCTTGTAGTTCCTTTTCACCTGTTACGGAACTGCTTTCTTGGGCAACGCCGGGCTAGCTCAGGAGGCCCGAGTCCGCACAATAAAATATCGGACAATTCGGACTCTCATCACTGACAAAACTACCATCCCTAAACACAAAACAAAAGTAAACAAACGACAAATATACACTGACGACACTGCCGAAACAAATTGGTGGCATTGGTGTCATTGCCACAACGTACCCACCCATCCAGTGATGCCTCCTGAGTGTCTCGGGGCATCACCCACCTCCGGCGGACCGGAGCCTATTCCAGGCGGTCAGGCTACCGACCCATCTCCCCCAGGTATTGACTCTACTCTATTTTGATTTTCATTATTTATTTTATATAAACATTTCGAGTAATATTAATATTTCCCTTTCTAGGTGGTATACTCCACTCCCGGCGAGAGCGTGGCCCTAGCCAGGGATGCGCTTGCGCCAAGGCTGCGCTGTTGGGGGACTTAAGAACTAGCGGAGGAGAAGCGCCTTAAACATTTGTCCTCAAACGGCCACAAAACAATTATTCCCTCTTTGGGGTCCCTAATCCCTGCTGGAGCTACAATAGAAATGTAGGGACAGGGGTTCACGACAAAAAAAAACAAAAGGTCAAGGAAAAACAAGTACCGGCCTTCTTCCCCGTTCCCCCTTTGGTCACAGCTCCTGTGTTGCACCAATCCCGGACCCGGGATACGGCCAAGCGGAGAACAAAGACAACCTTACAATACAAAAGACACAAAATACGAAATAACCTATCCTAACCTAATTTAAATTTAAATTTGAATTTACTCCTTTTAATTTTGGTAGGGCCCTCCACCCGGAACGGACTCACCGGATTAGCCCTTGGCGGCACGGGCGGTGCTAAGGCGGGGCACTGGCGGCGGCGCTGCGGCTCTCAGCTCGGATGGCGCTGAAGTGGTGGCACGGGCGGTGCTAAGGCGGGGCACTGGCGGCGGCACTGGGCAGCGCGGAGGCGGTGTCCACGGACCGCTGAACTGGCGACACTGGCAGGGCTAAGGCGGCGGCGCTTCGGCTCTGGGCTCTCAGCTCGGGCGGCGGCACAGGGCGACGCGGAGGCGGTGTCCACGGAATGATACGCGCGCACTCTCAGGCAGTCAACGGGTCAAGATTTTTTCTTCTTTTCCAAAAATAACCTCGCGCACGTTTTCTTCCCAATTTTTGACTCCTCGTTTTTTTCCTCCTGCACCTCCCTTTATTGCCTCCGTTCCCAAAGCTCCACGCCGTTACTTTTTTAATTCCCCTTGCCCTTCCGAGAGAAAGGGTAAGAAACCTTTCTCTTAAGCCGCTTTCAAAGTTCCCGGTTCGCTCAGCTTCCTCCTCCCCCCTGGGACCACCGATTCTGCCTCTCACTATCGATACATCGATAGCCTCTTCCCCTCCGAACTCCGAAATGCAACACACCCTCTCTTTCCTTTTCTGGTTGGAACCCGTTGTTTCAGTTTCGAACCATTCCAGGTCAAGAACCTTTTTCCCCATATGGTGGCATCCCTGAGCTAATCGTATAACACACCTTATGTGGGTCTATCAATGCTACCGATATTTAAATTTAAATAAATTTAATTTAATTTAAATTTTAAATTTATTTAAACAAATAAAGATAAGGTAAACAAGGGATTAATGGGTAATAAATATGCAATAAATATAAAATAATAAATAAATAATTAAAAAATACTAAAACAGATGAAAAATGTAGCTATTATATATAAATAAATATATAGTTAAAATAAACGCAAATTTTCCGCAAACAAATTAAAAAAAAAAAAACACATTTAAATTGAACCTAAAACTAAAAAAAATTTGGCTGAAGCAGCAAAGCTCCCGGTGTTGCCACTCCACTATGTGGAATTTGACCCGTTTTCGTGGCCAAAACTCATTTTTCGCAAGTATCCCAATTTGCGTATTTTCAATGATACCATGTTATGAATTGATCAAACTGCTATGTTACATACCCAAAATGTTAACTTAACAGTTCAATGTTAAAATAACAGCTGTTGCAAGCGAACACCATGGGCTGTCTTATAAGTTGACTTTGCGGTGCAGTTTCAAATTGTCAAATCTCTGACATAAAATCATTAAATAACCTAATTCAAACTGAATAATAATTCTTCAGGTTATTACTCTATGTGTTGATACTAATATGTTGCGTGTTGCGTTCGTATTTTTCTAAAAATTTGTACATTTAGCAAGTGGTGTCCATTTGTCACTTTTGGAAATAAAGTTGATCTTTCCAAAGGGTTTTAAAAAAAGGTTCAATTTGTATCAGCGAGTGTCCATATACATGTTGTAGGTTTGTCAATTCTGAATTCAAAATACATAGGCTTATTGTGCGTTTTTTGCGGTCTTTTGCATAATTTGAATTATTATGGAGCAACATCTTGGTCAGAAATGCAGAACTGCTAGTAGTTTGGCGTAAGCAAGGGAGGTTCAATTTCTCCGGAAATATATTCTGCGGAGTTTGATTGTTCCACAATATAAGGTTTTCTTAACCGTTAAAACTGATATCGACGTTAGGGAAGACGACAATACATATTTTTTATAATAATAATGAAATTGATGACAATGATGAAGTTAATAATTAATATGTAGAATAATAAAACCAAAAATAATGATATTCTTAAATAGCTTCTACATTTATTATCCGATCTGAACCAAATTTACAGGACACATTTACAATAAGAAATTCAGCCTGTGTTCCAAAATTGGTCTCTAACTTGAAAATTGCTTTAAATATTAGATTTTTTCGATTTCTGTGTGTGGAGGGGGGCGTTGACACGCCCACTTTTCTAGAATCGCTTCCTATAGTCATAACCATAATTATATAAGAAACCTGCAGTGAAAAATGTTAATAATTTCAAAAATTTTAATTTTGGCCACGAAAACGGGTCAAATTCCACATAGTGCACTCGGAAGGCGTGTCGGCCTTCCTCGACGATTCTCTTTCTTTGAATATTTTACTTAATGGCGGCTCTCATGTACATATATTTATTTAATGGCGGTGTTTACGCACATATGCCTGCCGAAGCTCTACCGCGATTCGGGGTTATGTTTAAATTTCCAGGTTTTACTTTGTGGCCACCAAATCAAACCAACAAAAAAATTCGTCCTGGCCAATTTTGTGACCAGGTCAGAATTATCTCTGCGAGGACTGTGTCTGGCCGATCCTGGAAATGAGAGCCATGATATTAGGGTTTCACCTCCGGACCACGACCACTCATCTTTTGAGTTCTCTCGAATTGGCTTCCCGTCCTTGCTGATCCTCCGCTTTTCAAACATTTGGAATTTACCACTCAACGTTCTTTACTGTTGAGTGCACGCGCACAGAATTCTTTCCTTATCTTTAAAAAACTACTTCTAATTTCAAACTTTGTTAACCGCCCGCTCGCGTAGCTTGGAACCAATTAACCGCTCTATCCCCTTGTGGTTCCTTTTTACCCTCTCTTTTCTTTTCTGGTTGGAACCCGTTGTTTCAGTTTGGAACCATTCCAGGTCAAGAACCTTTTCTCCCATAAGGTGGTGCATGCTACCGATCTGCTTTTGAGGCAGGGTGGCATCCCTGAGCTAATCGTATAACACTTCTATGTGGATCTATCAATTGTATCCTATCGATATTTATTGGATGAAACAACAGAAAGTGGCCATAACATGTTTAACAGATGCCATAAGACAGTATATAGACACTAGGGCTATAGGCATATCAGGCAATTTAACAAAAAAGAATTTCAATACTATTTGAACAATCTATGACCTTAGGTCAATGGCGGGTGGTTCGAATACAAGAGTTCGACTCATAAATGGCGCAAACTTTCATCTTAAAGCTACAAACCTTTAAGGACTGTAATATAAAAATAACCATCCCTAGCTTCAATTCCAAAGAAAGAACTTAAAGGAAGTGCTGAATCTTATTTTCACTATTTTAAAAGAACACTCGCTGGATTCTGAAGTTATACAAAATCTTTTGAGTAGTATTATTTAAATTTCCTCACCCAACCCGGTAGACGAAAGCATTATTGAAGCGAAATTAAAATGTGTTCGCAAGGCTTGTCGGGTTGGTAATACATCTTTAAATATTAACGTACAAATGGTTAATTTGAGTTCCAAACTAAAGCACTTACAAAAGCAATGTGAATTATTATTTGCAATGCTATAATTGAAGGAGTCGAAAAGTGTTATTTAAAATTTTCCCAAAAGAAAAGCATAGAGCATGTTTTTACTCAAATAAAAATGATAACTTTTTGTTGCATTTCGGGTGGGAACGGGCTGAAGGACTATCAATATATCGATAGGGATAGGTGGAATTGGTAGGACCAGGAGGGGGGCGAGGAAAATGTGCGAACCGGGAAGTTCGAATGCGGCCTAAGAGAAATGGTTCTTGCCCTTTCTCTCGGCAAGGGCAATGAAAAGTAACGGCTGGAGTCTGAAACGGAGGAAAGGAAACTGGCTATAAAGGGAGGTGCGAGCGGAAAAAAAACGAGGAGAAAGATCTGGATGGATAACGTGTGTAATTTTCGAGCGGTTAAAGTCTAAAAGAAAAAAACGTGATCCCGGAATCGAGGTGGACGACGTGACCGATCGCCACCCAGTGCCGTTGCCTGAGGCGTCGCCTCAGAGCCACCCAGTGCCGTTTTCCTGGAGCCGTCGCCAGAGCTGCTGGCCACCGGATCGTCGAATCCACCATAGCTGCTGGCCACCGCGTCGCCGAATCCGCCAAAGCTGCTGGCCACCGCGTCGCCGAATCCGCCAGAGCTGCTGGCCACCGCGTCGCCGAATCCGCCAAAGCTGCTGGTCACCGCGTCGCTGAATCCGCCGCGGTCAGAACGACCACCGGCCAGAGCTGCCGCCACCCAAGTCCACCGGCCAGAGCTGCCGCAACCCAAGTCCGCCGGCCAGAGCAAACGTCGGAGCCGTCGCCGCCGCCGCAGCCGAAAGACGACCCCCAGATCCGCCGAGCCGCCGCCGCAGCACAGGTCCGCCACCCAGAACAGCCGGCCGAGCCACTGCAGGAAATTCCCTTCAGCTGCTACCATCCGGTGAGTCCGTTCCGGATGGGACGATATAAGGGGCGGATTGCCTATTAGTTTCTGCCCAGGCAGCTGCCGCCGACCTGCCGGCAGCCCTTACTACCCGGCACCAAACCAGAGCGAGCTGGAATAAAAAAAATAGATTTAGTTTGTTATTGTTAGGTGTACGGTATTAGTGTGTTTGTCTCGCCCTCCGGATTGATCGTATCCTGGGTCCGGGATTGGTGCAACCCATGCGCTGCGACCAATAGGGGAACGGGAAAGAAGCCAATTAGTAAACTCTCGTTCTTGAACCCGACCCTTGTCTATTTCTCTTGGAGCTCCAGCAGGGATACTAGGTGAAAGAGAGGGAATAATTTTTGTTACCCAATCGTGGCCAATTTGCGGCCGAATAGCTTCTCCTCCGCAAAAAGTTGTCGGTCCCCGATAAAAGGCAGCTATGGCGCAAGCGCATCCACGTTCTCGCCGTGGACGAGTTGGCGCCTAAAACTATATTTGTAACTTTGTTAAATTTAAGATGCAAAACAATAATAATCAATAGTAAGTAAAAGATTGAAATGAAAATGGAGTAAGTTTTACCTGGGGGGGAGATGGGCCAGTCGCCAGACCGCCTGGTGTAAGCTCCGGCCCGCCGGAGATGGGTGATGCCCCGAAATGTGGAGGAGGCATCCATGGATGGGTGGGCGCGTCGTGGCGGAACAAACCAAGCCACAAATTCGGCCCAGCAGCTTAATTTCTGTTGTTTGTTTACCTTTTTGTAATGTTTAGTGATGACACTTGTAGTTTAGTCCGAGACGTCCGATTAATTCGGTATTTTTAATTGTGCGGACTGCGGCCATTGGGTCGGACCCAGCCCTGGGCACCCTGAGCTAGCCCGGCGTTGCCCAAGGAAAGGCAGTTCCGTTACATTTTTCAGTTTTCAACAGATTTTCATCAAATTGAAGTTTCAGCCAATTTATATTACTTTACGTTTTCCGCAATTTTTCTTTAAGAATTATTTTTTATGTTATTGAATGTTTTCGGATTTTCCGCTCCAAGAGATCCGACATATGCTCAATTGGGTTAAGATCTGGACTCTGTGGAGGTAATCGCGAATGATTTTTTACTTTTAATAGCAAATAAAGCTTTGTATTGTTTAGCGTGCGCTTCGGATCATAGTCATGTTGAAACTAATATTCATGTCCCAACCCCAATTTTACAGCAATTTCTTTCAAATTTGTAACGGAACTGCATCCTTTCTCGGGCAACGCCAGGCTAGCTCAGAAGTTCCAGGGCTGGGTCCGACCCAAAGCCCGGACTCCGCACAAATATATATATAGTGACATATTCACAAATTCTGTTACGTTCCAAGAAATATGAATCTGCAGCGTAGGCGATCCCACGCTGAACCAATGTAAACAATCCACATCCGGAGCAAGCAATGCTTCTTCTCAATAACATAAATAATTCTTCAATTAATATCCCAAGCGGGCGATCTCGCTCCCCAACTCTTGTAAACAAAGGGCAGTAGAAGTAAGATTTTTGTCACAATAATTTAGTCTTAAGCTGAGATCATTTGAATAAAGACGTGAAGCGGAATATTCGTTTTATTAATTCAACTAAGCGTTGTCCTTAGTCAACTGACGGGACATTAGTTCGACTTACAAAACAGAAACACTTCACTATATATACAAATAAATATAGACGGACGGACACGGCTAAGACAAATTGGTGGCATTGGTGTTTCTGCCACGACGCCCCACCCATCCTGCGATGCCTCCTGGTGTACTGGTCTAATCCATTTTCATTATAATATTTTATTTTAATTTATATTTACAAACGTATACTTCTTTTGCTATGGGTCATCACCCCACTCCCGGCAAGAGCGTGGCCTTAGCCAGCGATGCGCTTGCGCCTGGCTGCCTCTTTTGGGGACTCAAAACTCCCGGAGGAGAAGCACTTCAATGATTCGGCCTCAATCGGCCACAAAATTATGTTTCCCTCTTTTGTCCCTAATCCCTGCTGGAGCTCCAATAGAAATTAAGGGGTATGGGCGTTTGCAACAAAAAAGCAAAGAAAGAAAAACGACCGGCTTCTACTCCGTTCCCCTTTGATCACAGCGCTCGTGTTGCACCAATCCCGGACCCAGGATACGGTCAAGCGGAGGACACGGGTAACGAACGAATGTAACACTAAACACTTAATATTATCCTTACTTAAATAGCAAACTAAATTAAAAACTATATGGCAAACCCCTTTTTGATGGCCCCTTTCCGGAACGGACTCACCGGATTAGCTGGCAGCGCTCTGGGCTTCTGCGGCGGCTCTGGTCACGGCCTCGGCGAATGCAAGGTGTTAAGGCGGCGGCAAGGCGGTCCTACGGCGGCTCTGGTGATGGCTCCGGCTGCTCTGGTGATGGCTCCGGCTACGGCTCAAGTGGCGCTACGCGAGGCGGCGGCAAGCGCGGCTCTCTGGCGGCGCTGAGGCGGCGGAACTGAGGCGGCTCTGGGCTACGGTATGGAGGCGGCGGCACTGATGCGACGGAACTGAGGCGGCGGCACTGAAGCGACGGAACTAAGACGGCTCTGGGCTACGGAATGGAGGCGGCGGCACTGAGGCGACGATCGGTCACGTCGTCCACCTTAATTCCTCGTGGTCACGTTCGTTCTTCCCGACTTTTTTCACAAAATTCGTCGCACACGTTTTCATCCAGAATTTCACTGCCGGGTTTTTCCATTAGCACCTCCATTTATAGCCCCGGTTCCTTCCCTCTGTTCCAGAGGTCCAGCCGTTACTTTTCCTATTCCCTCATTGCCTTTGCCGAGAGAAAGGGCAAGAACCCTTTCTCTTAGGCCGCATTCGAAATTCCCGGTTCGCTCATTTTCCTCGCCCCCTCCTGGTCCTACCAATTCTACCTATACCTATCGATACATCGATAGTCTCTCAGCCCGTTCCCACCCGAAATGCAACAAATTGTTTACCAAAATTGGTATATAGACACCTTGATCCATAACAAAGTCAATAATTGTTAATTTTTCCAACCTCGAGGGTGGATTGGATGCGGTTGTTGGCGCCGTTTCCCGACAGCTGCACGAGGTACCGGTTGGCGCCATCCTCTACCATAAACCGTCGGTTGCGGTCTGGCGCCAGACGTATCCGTTCCTGGATCAGGGCGTGTAGGTCCACCTCTATTGCTCCTCCTTCGATCTGTCATCCCTCGGGCGCGGGAATGATTTACTCCGGATCGATCTCTTCGTCGGGCGGTGCTGGTCGACGCCCAGTAGAATGCGCCGCTTCACATCCTGTAGTTCTGCTCGGGCTTGTTCGTGCTGTCTCCGGAAACGCCACCGGTATTCGTCGGTGGACGGGAGGGGTTGCACAATCATAACTGGGCGATTCCGGGCGGCAGCGCGGCGGAGCACGACGCGGTGAAGGGGTGAGCGTCGCAGCTGCCAACACGGCCAGATGGCGCTCCACCGCGTCGGCGAACGTCAACGTTCTGTAGCAGTGTATCCTTGTCATACTCAGCCTCGGCAATTCCTTCAGCGGCCGGTAGTCGACGCACATCCAGACGTCTCCATTTTTCTTAGCAGCGATGACGATCGGCACGCTATGGGGACTTTTGGATGGCTCGATCGTACCATCGCGTGACAGCTCGTCGATCAGCTTGTCGATGATGGCTCTTTTTGCAGAATTCCGTTGTTAGTATCTCTGCTTAATTGGCTTGTCGTTACGCATAATGATGTTGTGTTCGGCGATGTGGGAGATGCCGGTAAGCGTATCAAACCGTGAAAGTTCTCGCTCGAGGAACTGTCTTACCCACGGTCCTGGGTAGATCTCGGTGTGGTCACTGGAGCGTGGCTCCTTCTCTGAGTCATACTCAGCCTCGGCAATTGCGTATGAATTCTGGAACTCGTCTCGCCTTCCTGCGAAACGGGTTTCATAGGATCGTCGAGGGCTCGGTGGCTTGCGTTGTTGTGTTCTTGTGGGTGTACTGCGTTGGAGTAGTCGTGATGTGGTCACTCTGCAGTAGCGCTCGTGGAGTGGCTTGGAAATGGCTGTGGCCTCGGTGCGTCGTCACGATGGCTTGTATTGCTCTAAGTTGCGTGGGCGGTTGAAACGTGAGTCGGTGTCCGCCGCATTGGAGTGTTCTTGCTCCGTAGCAAAGCACGTCTCTCATAATGAGGACAGCGAGGCTGACGCGGTCTTCTCCCAGCTGGATGGCTAATGTAAGCGTTCGAATTCATTGGAATTTATATAACATCCACGAGCATCCGTCCAACCCACAGTAGATTTATTTTGTCTTTGTACCCAGTTGATTGCAGTAGTCCTCTTTATTACCTCGGTTTTCGTTCACTTATTTATGTGCATTTAAGTTTAGCAAATAACGGACAAGTTAATAATTTGTTTTTGCAGTGAGACACACATGTTTTTATTTCAAGAGCCAGAAGAAGAAGAAAAAGAGAGAGATCAATGTGGCTGTATATCGTAACAAAGGAAAAGACATAACTTTACATTTATATATACATACATATATACTGTTTTTGCTAACTAAAATGTAGCAATTTTTTTTTTTTAACATTTTGTAAATGCGATATTTCAACAGAGTTACCTCTCGGCCGGTCCCATCCGCTAGTTTGAGCTCCGAAGCGTGGGAGCGCACGGCTCCTTTCGTCTTCGAATCGTCTGGTGTCGACGATCGAACATTGTAATCGATAGGCGTAGTTAGTATATTAAGAATAACGTATAAAATACTAATGGATTTTGAGCCCAAGAGAAAAAGGGCATACTTTTATCGCTAAGTTAACCGCCAAAATTGAGCGTCTTATTGTCGTGCGAGAATTAGGAGGACACACTGCGGTAAGCGCGTGTGAGAGTTATAAATGTGTAAAAATTAAGGTTAAGTTAATTTTTCCGCAGAATAAAACACTTCAAACTTCACATTTAATTGTCGGCCCCGGGCCAAGAGGCTTCCCTATTGTTTGGCGGGAACTGGAGATGTGGAGCCGTTAAAGGCAGATCCAAGTGACGCACGACAACTCCTTTTATTCGCAGTCCGATAGAGACTGCCAAAGCAACTTGGGAGCGCAGCCAGCGTCCCACGTGTTGATGGAGAAGTCGCAGCCAGCGACAAGGAGACGCGGGTAGCGTCAGTGGTCGCAGCCAGCGACGAGGAGACGCGGGTAGCGTCAGTGGTCGCAGCCAGCGACAAGGAGACGCGAGCGGCGTCAGTGGTCGCAGCCAGCGACAAGGAGACGCGAGTGGCGTCAGTGGTCGCAGCCAGCGACGAGGAGACGCGGGTAGCGTCAGTGGTCGCAGCCAGCGACAAGGAAAAGCGAGCAGCGTCAGTGGTCGCAGCCAGCGACAAGGAGGCACAGGTACGCCAGTTAAAGTGCGCTAAGTCAGCGCCCTATTGGAATCGGGAAGATGCAGCGCTCACCCAGGAGGAGCGCCCGGCTGAATGGAGGGGAAGCCACCCCTATAACAACACGAGA